GTTCTATGCAGATATGGTTCTTTCGTCCGTTTGCCCCGATACATCATTTTTCTATTAAGACCCTCTTTGGCTCGTCTTGATTTCTCCGGGGAATGACCTCCTGGGGGTATGCCCCCCATTATTCGAGGTTGATTGAAGAAAAGCCTTGAATACTTGTTGAGTTCTCCTTAGGTAGCATATAGATGTTGCCTCGTTAAAAACCTTGCCGGTAAAACCCTTCTTGGGATAAAATCTGATCGAAGGAACAGAGTGCAACACATGCTTTAAAACCTAAGGTCTTCAAGCTAGAAGGTACATCGATTCTTCTAACTGGACGCTTGTACACAGGTTAGTGTAATATGTAAATAAAAAGGGAGGTGGTTATACCTTAGTTGTGATGGCGTTTCGAGCCTCGATATGCTTCTACTACTTGCTCCGGGGACGCGGTATGGTCTCTTGTTTATTCACTCGGGTACAACCAAGGATATAGCTTGTGATTGCTACTTCGTTGTTTGTTTATCTTTTGGCTCCTTCGATGCTGAAGGTGTTGCTGTCAGTGCCACATCGTGCACTGCAAACATCTCTCTTGCAGTGTGCTGCTCCCCGTATACCATTTTTATTCCGTCCTTTATTGGAAACTTCATCATTTGATAAAGGGTTGATGGTATTTCTCTCATGCAGTGTATCCATGGCCTTCCGAGCAAGGCATTATATCTCATGTCTCCTTCGATGACATGAAACTTGGTGTTTTGGGTTGTCCCAGCCACGTTGACCGAGAGGGTGATTTCCCCTTTAGTTGTCTCTCTTGCCATGTTGAATCCGTTGAGGACTCGAGAGGCGGGCATAATCTGGTCGAGCAGTCCGAGCTACTCCACTACCCTCGACCTGATAATATTGGCCGAGCTACCTGGATCAACAAGTACACGTTTAATTTAAAATGTATTCACGAGAAAAGAAATTACCAATGCGTTGTTACGATGCTGAGACATGGTCTCGATGTCCTCATCACTGAATGTGAGACCATCCTCGGGTATGTAGCCTCGAGTTCGCTTCTCCCTGGTGATAGATATTTTTGTTCTTTTGACAATGGGTTCCTGCGGGATGTTGATTCCTTCAACGATCATGTGGATGACGTGTTGCGGTTCTTCTGTTTCATTTTTCATGTTCGCCTCTCTTTCCTGAAATTGATTTTTGGCTCGGTCGCTGAGAAACTCTCGGAGATGCCCTTTGCTAAGTAGTCGGGCTACTTCTTCTCGGAACTGTCTGCAGTCTTCGATCCTATGACCGTGTGTGCCGTGGAATTCGCACACCAGGTTGGGTTTCCTTTGCGACGGATCTGATTGTACGGGCCTTGACCACCTGGTGTCTTTGATTTTACCTATGGCTAATAAGATGTCCGAAACATCGACATTGAAGTTGTACTCAGATAACTGGGATGCCTCAGCCGGCCCTGTGTATCTGTCGAATCCAGTTCTATTTACGAGTCTTCGAGGATTCTGGCCTCGATCTGTCCTTCGGTCCTGTTGGGGTATGTTGCACTTTGGGGCGTTTCTTCGATCTTCAGTATATGGTTGGTACCTTTCCTTGTTTGGCTTCAGCTCCTTTTCTAGGAGCCTACTAGGATATACTGAACCCGAGGGGGCTCCCAGTTGGTCATCCTCGACCTTAATCTTCGACTGATATTGGTTGTGGACATCCGACCAAGTCACGGCGGGATATTCAACCAAGTTCTACTTTAGTTGCTTTGAAGCTACCGAGCTTCGTTCATTCAATCCTTGGGTGAAAGACTGCACTGCCCGGTCATCGGAGACTGGTGGTAATTCCATTCGCTCCATTTTGAAGCAAGATACAAACTCCCGCAACATCTCATTTTCTCTCTGTTTTATTATGAAGACGTCGGACTTCCTTTTAGCAACTTTGATGGCACCGGCATGTGACTTTATAAAAGAATCTTCCAGCATGGCGAATGAGTCTATCGAATTCGGGGATAGGTTGTGATACCACATCATGGCCCCTTTTGAAAGTGTTTCCTCAAATTTCTTCAACAGGACAGATTCAATCTCGTTGTCCCTCAGGTCATTTCCCTTTACGGCACAAGTGTAAGCAGTGACGTGCTTGTTGGGATCCAAGGTTCCATTGTACTTTGGGAGATCGGACATTCTGAATTTCTTCGGGATGGGCTTCGGAGCCGCACTCGACGGGAATGGCTTTTGTACGAATTTCATTGAATCAACACCCTTTAGGATCGGGGGTGTGCCCGAGATCTTGTCGACCCTTAAATTATAGGTCTCCACCTTTTTGTCGTTAGCATTTATCTTCTTTTCGCCCTATTCAATCCTCTTTGTGAGGTCCACGAGCATCTTCATAATAGCGGGGTTGGCTGCTGACCCGTTATTGCTCGATCTTTCCGGTACCTATTTGGCTCGAGGAGCCATTTCCAGTGCTGCTGTGCTTGGAGTTTTTTGGTGGCTTTGCAGTTGAGCAATCGCCAGATGTTGTGCCTGTAACATCTCAAAAATAACATGAAGGCTAACTTCTTGCTCCCCTCGCACTGGGATTTCCTGAGCTTCTTGTTGGTTTTCTTGGTGTATACTCCTGTCAGTGTGGGAGCTTACATCGACGTGTTGGGCGTTGCGTGAGACCACATCCACGGGAATTGGTTCTGGTGCATCCTCAGGGTTTCGTGGTGGCACACCAATACCTGGAACAACTACACCATTCTCTCCATGGTCCTCAGGACCGTTGTTTTCACGTGCATTCATTGAGTTAGAAATTTTGACCTGAAATCAAAGATTCTTGGACAAGAAAAAGTGTGAAGAATAACTTGCATTATCTAGTAAACTAGCACGAAAACAATCACTATTATTTTTAGCCCCACGATGGGCGCCAAACTGTTTAACTCGAAAATGGTAATACAATTAGATTTAATTTTGTGGTTCTAAAAATATGTGATTTATTTTATGCTAGTTGTTAGGCAGTAGATGCTAAGTGAGCGACTAGAAAATAAGATAAGAGCCTGAAAAATAGTGCGCTATGCAAACCGAGTGGCCAAGAGTCGGGGTCTCGAGCTAGACTATACGGGGTCTCGGGGTCGAGCTAAGCATTAGACTATGGACGACCGATGAACAACTTAACAGTTCTGAGAGCTTTAATGAGAGCTCTTTATGATCAATGATGAGTAGTAAATGAAGAACAATAAATGAAACACAATAAATATAAGTAGCAAATATGAGGAAAGACAATAGAGAGTGTTTAAGTTAGAGAGCAGAGAATGTTCTTGTATTCAATATCATCCATGCAAAAAATAACAAGGGTCCCCTTTATATAGTAGGGGGAATTCCAACATAGTACATATACATTTATTACAAAGATATGCGGCTGGTACAACCATTTTATGCCACTATACGGGCTTGTACTATTCTTATGGACTTGGTCAGCTCTAGCCACTTGCCTTGGGAATCTCCCACTCATTCATCATAGCTGCCAATTTGCTCTACCCCGAGGTCGAGCATAGGTAACACTCGGGGTCGGGCCTCAAATCGTGCCTCGGGCCTTCTGAAGACGGGCTATGGGTTGTCATAATGATCATATAATCGGGCTCTCCGATTTTAGCCATATACACTTATTATAGCGTCTTTGTCTCTCATATTATATATAGATAGAATATATGTTTAAATTCAAATTCTAAAACAGTAACTAATTATTAACAACACACAATGCATAATTTATTTTCAAAAAAATTAAATTAAAAAAGATACTAATTATTACTTAATTTAACTAATTTTGTCCTAAAATTGTCAAGTGACTTTTTATTATGTTGTCAGTTGTCTTACTATGATGTCTTTGTCTCTCCTATTATATATAGATAGATTTTTTTTATTGTTATATTTGATTAGTAGATAATATTACTATATAAATCCATCAAGTGGCTTTTTATTGTGTTACCACTTGGATTACTATGGTGTCTTTGGCTCTCTTATTATATATAGATAGGTAGATAGATATTCAAATTCAAAAAGAGTGTCTAATTATTAATAACACACAGTGCACAATTTATTTATTTTAAAATTAAAAATTAAAAAAAGAAACTAATTATTACCTAACTTAACTAATTTTGTCCTAACATTGCCAAGTGGCTTTTTATTATGTCACTTGACTTATTATGGTGTCTTTGCCTATCATATTATACATATATAGATTACTATGTTGCTTGTAATTATTTCAAATTCAAATTAGACTTTTCTTCTATATTTAAATTCTAATTCAAAAAGAGTAACTAATTATTAATAATAAATAATACACAATTTATTTGTTTTAAAATTTAAATTCAAAAAGAGAGTAATTATTACCTAACCTAACTAACTTTGTCCTAAAATTTTCAAGTGACTTTTTATTATGTTGCCACTTGACTTACTATGGTGTCTTTGCCTCTCCTATTATATATAGATAGATTTAAATTCTAATTCAAAAAGAGTAACTAATTATCAATAATAAAAAATATATAATTTAATTTTTTAAATTTTAAATTAAAAAAAATAATTATTACCTAACCTAACTAACTTTGTCTTAAAATTATCAAGTGACTTTTTATTAAGTTGCCATTTGACATACTGTGGTGTTTTTGCATCTCTTATTAGAAGCTCCACTAATATAACTTCTTTATTAGTAGTATATAATCAAGAAAGAACATAAACAAATCCATAGCTTTGAAAATTCAACAAATTATGAAGTTATACGCACAATGAAGTTGATGAATTGGCTCTTGCAAGGTACCCAAACTACCAAACATGCAATCATTTTTTACTGGTCATGCAATGCTACAAACATCTAAAATTCTAGCAAGCTAAGAACATTTCAGGGCTTAATTTTGTCACCATTCAAAATCCACTAAGAGTCGTGATGACATCGGACACTGCTGTCAGGCAAGTCAACCAAAAATACTTAATTAAATTCTCGTTTAAATAATTGTGAAAATTATGATTTTTCTTCAGTTTTACTAGTAAAAGATAATCATTACAAAATAAATAAAAATATCTAGAAGTTAATATAAAATACTCCATAATCATCCTAGAACCCGGTGTTACGAGTGCATGGGCAATTTTTAGGAAATAAAGTACAATACGATACCTGTCCGGAATACAATCGGACAGAAAAGAACTACTATACTCTGAAAGAGACTACTGGCTGCGGGTCGTCTCGAGAGATGCAGCTCACCTAAGTCTCCGTGTCAACCATGCCACTGCGCCCAACGAGGCCACTAGATGTACATGTACCTGTGCAACAAAAATGCACAGTAAGTGTAGCATGAGTACGAAAATAACATGTACCCAGTGAGTATCCCGTCTATTCTCGAAGAAGTAGAGACGAGAGGTCGACTTCGACACTTACTAATGGTCCAATAATAATATACCAATAATACAGTAATCGAGGATTTTCATAAAGATGTTTGTAACTCAATAGCATGAAGCAAGTAAGCAATTCTTTTATTAATAGGAAATTTTCAAATTCATTTTCATCATTTGTACATTTATCTCAAGCTAGGGAGAACAAATATCAACATCTATAAATCTCAAGGCAAGCAATACAAGCATGCGCAAATCATGCCGAGGTCGTATTGCCTGATCCAACAAATATTTAAACTGTGCACTGCCAGAGGATCGAATGGCGCGAACCATAGATGCATCTATTACCCTGCTCACGAATCATACATGCGACGCAGTCAAACATAAATAAACAATCACCTCGCTCGCGAATCATACATACGATGCAGGTACACATAGAAACACACATTCAAACAGACAATCAAAACTTCATCAGGGAGACAATTATCCAAGGAAGTGTCAGTTTCTCTTTTACAAGTCGAGAAAACGAAGTTTTAACTCTTTTAGAAAATTATTTGCCACTTCGATGCAATTAAAGCAATTTAAACTGTCCATAAGGTTATAATTATTACAAGTAAAGCATGCTTTTGGGTTCTAGACTACCAGACTTAAGCATAATGGTAGCTACGCATGGACTCTCGTCATTTCGTGCGTACGTAGCCCCCACACATAGAAGCACATATCCAATTAATTCACCTATGGGGACGATTTCCTCTTACAAGATTAGAAAGGAGACTCACCTCGCTCCGAAGTTCCAAAACCGGCATTCCACGCCTTTCCGAAGACTCAAATTGATGCCCCAATGCTCCAAAACTAGCCAAATAACGGGCAAACTAATGAAAATATACCCTAATACTCATAACAATTCAATTTATATAAATTTCCAACTCTGCTCGAAAAGTTGACAAAATCGCCCTCAGGCCCACGTGCCCAGATTCTGAAATTTTTCGAAGATAATGTTCACCCATAATCTCACGAATTCAAATATGTAATTTACCCTTAATTTCATGCCTAAGATCGTGGTCAAAATTCAAGAATACCAATTTTCTAAGTTTCCCTCAAACCCCAAGTTCTACTAATTTTCATGCTAAAATCTATACATAATCAATGTATTTAACTCAAAACTAGCATAAACCACTTACCTCAAGCTTGGTGGTGAAAATTGCACTCCCAAGTTGCTCTAAATCGGCTCCTATGAAGGAAAAATAGTGAAAATGAGCCAAATCCCCGCTTTTAAAAGAACACACTGCCCAGCCCGCTTCTCGCACCTGCGGAAATTTCCATCGCAGGTGCGGTCTCAGCTAACTTGCCCACGAAAGCTTCTGCGGAACCAGGATCGCTTCTGCGGAAGCTGCGTCGTACCTGCGCCCCCAGCCAAGCCCGGCCATTTTCACTTCTGCAACACCAAGACCGCTTCTGCGGCTCCGCACCTACGGCCAAAACCTCGCAGGTGCGGTTACACCAGATACCAGCTGCTTCAATTCTTCTTCAAATTCCAAATTTGATCCGTTAACCATCCAGAATCCACCCGAGGCCTCCGGGACCCCAACCAATCATACCAACCAGTCCCAAAACATAATACGGACCTGCTCGAGGTCTCAAATTACATCAAACAACGTCGAAATCACGAATCGCACTCTAATTCGAGCTTAATGAACTTTAGAATTTCAAACTTCTACTTTCGATGTCTAAACCTATCAAATCACGTCCGATTGACCTCAAATTTTGCCCACAAGTCATATTTAACATTACGGACCTACTCCAACTTCCGGAATCAGAATCCGCCTCTGATATCAAAAAATCCACTTCCGGTCAAACTTCTCAAAAACCTTCAAATTTCTATTTTAGCCAAATGACTCCAAAATGACCTACAGACCTCCAAATTTACTTTCGATCGCGCTCACAATACCAGAATCACCGCACGAAGCTATTCACATTCTCGGAATCCCAAACAGACATCGATAACATTGAAATGCACTTCAACCCAAACTTATGAAATTCTCCAAAAAATGCTAACTTCCACAATAAGTGCTGAAACATTTTTGGGTCTTCCAAAACCCAATCCGGACATACGCCCAAATCCGAAATCATCATACGAACCCGTTGGAACCTTCAAATCCCGATTCCGAGGTCTTTTACTCAAAAATCCAATCTTAGTCAATTCTTTCAACTCAAAGCTTCCGAAATGAGAATTATCTTTCCAAATCAACTCCGAACTTTCCGAAATTTAATTCCGACCATGCGTACAAGTCATAATACCTGAAGTGAAGCTGCTGCTAGCCTCAAACTGCCAAACGACACGCTAGAGTTCAATACAACCGGTCGAGTTGTTACAAATTTCTTGCACGTGGAATTTATTTCAAAGATCTTTATGCTTTTTTAGTCCTAAAGGTAAATGACAAACAGCTATAGAACATCATCAACCACACCATAGTGGTTAGTTTACCTTCTTGACGGGATTACAACTACTTAAACCTATGTACTTGCTGATTTTTTTTACAATATTAACATCATAAAATTTTATATCAGCTTTATTTATAGTAGATGTTGTAAATCGATACACGCCTTACGCATAAAAGTTAAAACTTAATATTGCTACGCGCCTAGTATCTTGATTAATACAGGAATGTCAATTCTGCAGGGGCAATGTTCTATCTCTAACATATCCCTCATATTGACTCAACAGTTAGTACTATCAATTCTGCTACTTCTAAGTCTTTCTCCCCAGATAACGAATTTTGCTTGGTCTCCCCTAGAGTTAGAGACATTATTTCACAGTTGCATAACTACTTCAATAATGTTAAGAAGCTTAAATAACTCGTATAGTTTGTGAAGCACAAGCTCAAATAGTTATGCATAAGAAATTTCACAGAAGGGCACAATGAAACTTCAAAAAACAAAGTAAGAAGCGAGACGCAACATCTAAATGGAATGTTTTATAAAAATCACATTTGGATTGCTTAAGGCATAGCATCAAACACACTGATTGCGATTAATATGCAACTACAACTCAGTTAACTCCATATATCTGTTTCAAAATTTGTAGAATCTGGTTTCAAGTTAACAGTGAAAAGTGGTCGAATAATATTATGCATTAAAATTAATTGGCAGAAACATAACAATGAATTAATTCAGCTCTCAGTTGAGACATGAAAAAGCTAAAAAAATAGAGTTGAAACATGAAAACAGATATCAAATCATCACAAAGTCGATAAAATAAAGAATGAGAAGCAGAGGAAACACAGAACCAAGATAGAAGAAAAATTAGGACGTCACGTTCTAGGTAGCATCACTAAAGCATTGAAGGTCACTTGCGCGCATGCGGGAAAAAATAAATATAAAGTACCTTTCAATACCCCTTTAAAGGAGTTTTTCCCTTCCGTCAATTGGCAGTTGCTTCCTAATATAATTGAAAAAAACATGAAATAGGTTAAAAAAATCAATAATAAATGACAACATGACTAAGAGCAGTACTTACCCGACTCTATGCTGAACACCCAACTACCATAATATAGAGCAAATCTGCAATAAACCTTCAGCAACAAACGTTAGGGAGCTCTCTTTTAGGTCTGTCTTCCACCAACAATCAGCACAAATCACTAATTTTTGCAACAATTTAAGGTGAATAAATTTGAAGTTGCAACATATGGAACAAACACTTAAAGCATATTTCTCTTCTAAGTTCTACCTAGGATAGAAGGCCATTTATAGAATATGTGGAAGATGATACTAATAAAAGAGGCTTTCTATGACTATCTTTAGCTAAATATTCGCCTTCTAGAACATGATATCTCCACATAATACTTTTATTTTTATGGTAATATCCTCAGTCGTGCCTTTTAAGTGCCGGGTGAGGTGCATTATATTTTCTTTTTGTTAGTTTATCAATCAGGAGCAAGTCTTTTTCCTCTAAGTTTCTAATTTTCTTTCCTCTGCAATTGCATATATAGGATGTTTGCAGGGGCGATGGCAGATGTAGTTTATATGATATGGGTTCATTCTAATCCAGTATATATGTACAAAATTTACCAAATAAGTACAAATAACAAATTTTGACCCTAGTAAATCATGCAGAGCTTGTTCTTATTTACAAAGACAAAACATTAGTTTCTTTATTCCTTTTGTAATTTAGAAGAAAAATACATTAGAGCCATTTTAAGAAAACACCTCAAATTAAGAGTTCCTTTTGGCATTTACTTCAATAAAACAACTTAAAACCTCGTAAAGAACTAATCTTGGGAGATACCCACATAGATTTGAGAAGAAAATAACTTTTTCTGAAATAAGCCTGAAGACAAACGAAAAAAGTTATGTTCTTGGTATCACAAAAAAATGCTTAGTCAAAGCAGAACTGAAAATATAATTTGGAGATGCTTCATTAAATCACCATTCACATGACTATTAGAAATAGGAAAAGATTACAAATAGCTTTTTTCATGTAGTGCAAAGCCAGTTCATACAAGTATATTATCAAATACCATCCATACAATATCGTGCAAATTGGATAAAGTTGCTCACATGTATGTAAAAATCCAATAGCATAATATCCAAAAGAACGTAGCCTGTAGCCAATACCCACCACACCAAAACATGGTAGCAATAACAAATTATATTTAATGAAAGCAAGAATAGAGAAGAAATCACCAAAATTGAACAAAATAAAGCGCACACCACAGGCAACTTGGAACTAAAATTGAGAAATTTGAAAAACAAAACCCTCAAATACAGATGCATAGAGTACGCAACATTTACCAACCAAGTACGAAGAAGACATTTAAGCAAATACTTCAATAATGATAACCCTGGGAAACCCAATAAAGACAACAACGAGATCCATAAAAACCAATTTTGAAGGAGAAGGTACAGTACAGATAATTTCGATTAAAGGATAAATCAAAAGTAGCAGCGAAATTGGTATCAAAGTGTTTATCCTAAAATTCGAGTAACAATTAAACTTATATTGTGGTTTTAAGGATATGTGATTCAATCCAATACCAATTGATAAACAAGGAATTAAATAGATAAATTAGAGAATAAAATAAATCAAACCAGTATGCTAGCCAAATTTTGACCTCGACTTGGGATAGCCTCGAGGTGGGATGGCAAAATAAAGTATCTCTAATGAACAATAAGTGAAATAGCAGAAAAGTAATGAAAATATGTATTCTTATCAGTGAACAATGATGATTACAAATGAATGAGATCTCTCTTTATATAATATGGGAGTCCTAAATAAGATACACTTCTAATTATAGTAGGAAATCATATTAACATCTAATTAACCGTTGCCGACTGATCTGTTCCGAGATTCACACCATGATCTTCGATCCGTTGCATATATCTCTCCCTTTCCGTTACTGAATTATACCGGCATCATTTCAAAGTATGCCCCCTTCTGACCTCGGTTAGTGATGTCGATCTCGATCTTGGAAAGAAACTTCGATCCCAGACTTGATGTCCTGGCCTTTCGACGTGGTATCTCTTTTTTACATGGAAAGATGAAATCGGGTAGCCCCGATTTTCTACCGTATACAAATAGTCCCCTCGTTTCTTAGAGTAAAATAATAAGAAACGATTTGAGCCTCAATTTTCTAGATACCTCGATAATGACGTCATCCCTGTGACATAAGCAATCAAGGTAATCGAAACATCCCATCCGTACAGTTTCCCTAATCATTAATGTCTGTTAGTGGGCGGTCAACCACTAACGCCACCGAACCGTCGATATGAATCTATAAATACAGGTTCTTTATTTGAATCAAAACTTTACTTCCACCTTCACCATGTTTTCTAAGTCTCTTCGTCTCTCCATCTCTTCTTTTACACCACCTGTTGAGTTAATTTTGTTAGTACCAAAAATATAAAACTTCACCTCTTGCTGCTTCCTTCTACTTAAATCAATGGCTAAAACTTCCAAGACCGTCCCACAAAAGGAGAAAGCTTCTTCCCCTTCTTCCCGGCCAGCCGGTAATAAAACGCAGGTGGAACCGCTCCCTTACGAGTATGTTCCTGGTCCTTGTGTCTTAAAATCCGACTTCAAAGTCGAGAATCCTCCATCGGTCCCTAGCCGCTGTGAACATGTGCCGAGATACATCTGTTCGATAAAGGCGGACAATCTCGAGGTTGTGAAGAGAGATTGTAATTGGATGGCCGAGGTCGTGGTACAGATCCCCGCTCCCGAAGAGAGTATTACCACGTGGTGGGGTTTCTAAGTGTCTACATTTACCCCTTTACATTGGGTCCTCTTGACCCAGTTATCGTTGACTTTTGCAAGACGTATCAGATTACCCTCGGCCATGTTCATCCCTCGTTCTTGCATATAGTGATCATGCTCTGCTTCTTCTCTAGCAAGGCCAAGGGGTTGGAATTCACTCTCAGCCACCTCATACGTTTGTACCGACCTCGACTTTTTCGAGGATTAATCAAGCTCCAACACCGATCAACGAAGTCCTTTTTTGCGAGCATCGATGAGGACATGGACCAAGGTTGGATGAGCCGATTTGTGGGGGTAAGGACCTGCGACCTCATCCCAGAGGAGAAATTGCCGTTCCCCGAGAAGTGGAACCCCGATCGTAAGTAACATATTACCCATTAATCTTCGAACTTCATTTTTTGCTTTATGTAATACTTTCATTTGTTATGCAGCGATTGTCTGGATGCCTCACGCGGTCCCCGACCTCGAAGATTGAGTTCAGATGTTGGTCTCGACTTCCTCCCATGCCGAGTGCTGCTGGTGTGACTTGGCAAGGGGCATATAGGAGGCCTAGAATCACGGTTAGCTTATCCTGTATGCTTTCGACGCCCTTTTTTGAAACATTTCTTTTTACTTATGCTTGACTCCTTTTTATGCAGGCCTCGGGGATGTTGCTGAAATGAGGCTGGCCCCTCCAGGGGAAGAGGTGGCTCCCAAACTGGCTAAGGATAAGAAAAGGATAAGGGCCTCACCTTCTGATACCCCGAAGCCCAAGAAGTGTAAGGCTCATAAGTCGAAGGATGACTCCGCCGCTCTATCTGCCGACGTAGCCCAAAAGCTATGTGATGAAGAAGAGGAGGGGGAAGATGCTGGTTGTGAGCTGGTTCCTCGAAAGAGGGGGAACATCGAAGCTTCAAAAGTATCTTGGCCGGTGTTGGTCGAAGAGACTCACCCTCGGACCGAGGAGATCTCGGAAGGTGCTCCGAGCAAAGTCCCCAAGTCATCGAGGGCCAAAGATATTTCCTGCTGTGATGAAAAATTGTTGAGTGTGCCCGAAGGGTCCAGTTCTAAGGCTCTTTAGAAGGGAGAGAGTTTCCTAATTGACTTGCTTGGAGCAATCAATATTGAAAATTCGCCGCCTGGCCTTGAATTTTCTGAAGGGAAATTTAGGGAGGCTCAATCTATGGAGACCCCCGATATGGGAACGACCCACGATAGGGAAGACATATTTCATGGCTGCCTTGTGGGGGTCGATGATGTTTCCGACCTAGATGTGACAATCATTTTTGATGAGGCCCAACATCTCCTAAGCCATGTAAACTTCATCCCATGTTATTACGTTTGCTTTTATTTCCTTCTTTCTGATTTCCTTCCTTTCTCCATAGGCTGCAATGCTTCATCGGGAAGCATTCACCAAATCCAAAGCCAATCTGAACCGGTGTGAGGCTGATCTCAAAAGGCTTACTGAGGAGAGAGACGCCCTCAAATGCCTCTGTGCAGAAAGAAGAGAAGATCAGGGACCTTCGAGCAGACTTGGCCCAGGCTCATAAAGAAGAGTCCGAGCTAGGTGAGCAGGTAACTATCCTTTTGAAAGAGTACGGTCTCGGCCCAACTGTGGAGGCTAATACTTCAATATCTCAGTTGCAACAAAATCTGGAAAGGATCGAGCTGCTCCGAGGGGTAGTCGACCAAATCAAAGCCGACTGTGATCGGTGGAAGGAGAACATGGACAGCGTTTCTGCGGAGAAAGAGGATACCTTGGCCAAACTGTCATCGACTGAGGTCCAACTTCAGAGTGTTAAAAAGAAAAAGCTCAGCCCAGGCCAAAAGGATCGAGGAGCTTGAAGCCGAGCTTGCTGAGGCCAAGGCGGAGGTCGAGAAGATGAAGATCATGGCTGACAAGTCCATAGCCGTGTACCTGGACGATGCCGAGGCTGCTCCAATGAAGCGAGGCTTCTGATCGAGAACGATGGAGCAATGACTTGGCGAAATGCTAATCCCAGAGGGAGACCCTCGAGGAAATCATGCTCGAGGTTTTGACCTTTCTAAATGCCAGGTTGCTTGTATTCTCCGATGATGATGATGATGAAGGCAGCCAAGGTGGGTCTGATAACAACGAGGGGCCTGAAGGAGAAGCTGCCCCTAAGGGAGAAACCAGCCCCGGGCATCGTTAGGATTTTATTTTTCCTTTTCTTTTTTGTAATACCCCTGTTGTTCCCTTGTACATATTTCCCCCCATATATATAAAGAAATTCCTTCTCAATTTTTATCTACAAACATGTTTTTTTGCCTTGTAAAACTTTTAGCACAATCTTATGCTTTAAACAATGAGTTCGAGATTTTGGTTTTGGGTGGCTTCCTTGAAGTCACCACAGTTGAGTTCGAATAAGGTTCGAACTTGAAGCATAGTCCCTTTAAGGTTTGTGTCGAATAATGATGAGTCCCCGAGCCATAGTCAAGTCAGTTTTTATTTGGACTCGGAATAGTCGAACCCTTAGGTTCCGATGGAGCGAGAACAAGATCTCGAACTCCAAGTGTATTGGCCCTTAGGCTCTTTAGTGCCTTAGCACGTTTGTATTAAGATAATTTGATATCTCTTAAGGTATTTAAAGGGCTGATTTTATCGAAGCCCTTTTGATTATTTGCCGAGGGTAGATTTTTTTAAACAGTTTTTTCAAAAAATTCGAAGGCCTATTTTTATTGCAGGATTCAGACGTCTCCAAGCCGCACTAACTTGGCCATATCCTTTGGGTATGTCTCTTAGGCTTATTCCCAATAACACTTCGAACTTGTTCGAATTGTTAGTCCCCGAGAATGGTGGCCTTGGCCTATAGATCGAGGGGTGCCTCTTTGAGGTCTTATAAATTCGAGTTTAGATAACTCGAATATGTCAATCGTCGATGACAGTCCCTGAGTGTTCGAGGCATATATGCGCTTGGCCCTTGAGCCATTTCTCACAAAATCATAAGTATGGAGCTCTTATAGTAGAAAATTTTCTTTGAGACACAAGATGTTTGATATAGAAAGAATGCTTCTTGGAATAATTTATACATGCGTACATATTTTGCCATCGGGGCTTGACTAATCTATATAGACACGGTTCATTCGACCGTTTGGCCCATTACAAAGTTTCCCTATCGAGATCCTTTGACATGAAGTACTTTTCTAAAAAATATAACATCTGAGGGTGATGCCCCCCAATATTCGAGGTTGATTGTAAAGAAGCCTTGGATACTGTTAGATTTTCCTCAAGTAGCACATAATTATTGCCTCGTTAAAAACCTCGCCGAAAAAACCCATTTGGGATAAAAACCGATCTAAAGGAAAAAGAGTGCAACACATGCTTTAAAACCTAAGGTCCTCGTGTTGAAGAGTTTCTCGATGTCTTCGATCGAACACCTGCAATAAGTTAGTATCAAATACAAATGGAAAGGGGGAAAGTCATACCTTAGCAATAATACCATTTGAGGAGTGATATATTCCAATTATTTGGCAATTGTTCGCCCTCCATTGTGCCAAGTTTGTAATATCCCTTTCCGATGACACTGAGGACCCGATATGGTCCTTCCCAATTTGGGCGTAGTTTCCCTTCATTCGGGTTTCGAGTATTGAGGGTGACTTTCCTCATAACTAAGTCCCCGATTCCAAAGTGGCGAAGGTTGGTTCTTCTATTATAATATTTCTCGATTCTTTGCGTTTGTGCAGCCATCCGGACGAGTGCAACTTCTTGTTTTTCATCCGATAGTTCTAGGCTA